CTAATTCAGTCAATAGCTGCTGGAGCCTACCCGCTTGAAGGTAAAGTCCAGTTAGTTATCTATCCTCTCTAGTTAAATCAAAATGATGTAAAATCAAAGTCTCACCCATCTCTTCATAAATCCAGGCAGACTGTTTGGAAATCAAACATTGTAGATCCATGGTATCAAACTGTAATGTCCACTGGAGGGGTTGAATAGCCTTCCCATCCTCTTCAACAGCTCCAAAACCTCCAGCTTGTAAAGGGTAATCTGAGATGGGCTGCATAGCTGGAATTCCTCCATCTTCTCTGCTTCTTTTTCGGCTTGTGCTGAATTAACCCCTCGTGGCCCTGGAGCTGGCAGTGCCACTTCCTGAAACTGAAAACCTCCTCTAGAATCATCTGTCTGGAAACTTGCAAAGTCAAGCAGGCTTCTAACAGCGACTGCATCATCTCCTTGGTCTGGAACCTGAAGTGCTGTTGCTTGAAGCAGGAATCCCTCTGTGACACCATCTCTCTGGGTCCCCTCCATGCTCATTGTACCTCTTAAGAAGTCATATGGTGATAGAAAGTCTTCTTCCTTGGCTAGCTGAGGGTTAACTCCCCACTGTCTGAGAGTGACAACGCTGCTCTCTGGGGTTGGAAGTCTCAGGAAGCATCCTTTGCCTGGGACTCCCCGAAGTCTCGCTGGCCCCGAACGATGTCATCAGGTGCTAGGAGTGCCACCTCTCCTGGGTGGTTACCCAACCATTGTTCAGAAACAGCTAACCCTTTCTGGTTCTGACTATGCATCTTTTCCAGGGTATTCCATATGCCTCTCTGAACGGCTAAGGGTTCCATCAGGAATTTGATTATCACATCCACTTTAAACAAAGGCTGAGTTGATGAGGCTCCTGCCCTCAGGCTGGGTGCATCTTCAGGGTGAGTAACTGAGCTCCAGCTCTCCTGAGCTGCCCTTACTCTTGCTGGACGTTATGCTTGGTCTCCAGCCTCCAGAACTTGGACTGTTGTCTCTCTGGACTGCTCTCTTGCATCTGGCCTGACCCACAGCACTGGTTCACAGCTGTTGGCTTCTCCAGTAGCCGCAGCTCCAGTCAGCTCCTTTACCTCTGGACTTTCCCATTGCACTGTTTCACTGCCTCTGGTACTTCCAGACAATGAAGTATCCACAGTTCCAGTTTCTGCAATGCTAACCACCACCTCTTGTGGTAGAAGGTCCTGTGAGGGCTTCCTGTACCATCTACCTGTCATTTTGCCCATCCTTTAACATCTTGGAGTTCTGTATGTTATTGGTTTTATTGTTTTTAAACTTTGTTATGCCACACAGAGTAGACTATCTGTCTAGATGGGTGGGGTATAAATCTAATAAAATAAAATAAATAAATAAATTTTGCCTAAGCAAAAATAACAACTTAGGTAAAAGCTGCTTTGTTCTGTAGCCGTTTGAACATGTAAAACTGTCCCCATTAGGATAGTCTCTCAGTCAGCTCAGATTGTCCGTCTTGCAGCTGCCACAATGTCAAGAACCAAATCTCCCTAAGGAGCATAGGTCCTTTGGGCAGGGAGTTCTGCAGACCACAGGTCTACCACTTTACACTGGGGCAAGTCCTCAATCTCCAGCAGTGAGTTGGATGTGCACCTGGACAAGCCTGAGCTTAAAAGAAGATGTTTACTCAGTATTTTGTAAGTATTGCAACATGCACTTTGTGATTCCTTAGAACTCACAGCAGCTCTTTTAAATAGGACTTTTCTATGATAACAGGTGGTTTATCTCCATTCTAATTAGAAAAGAATTTGTTGAGTCTTTGCACTGGGCCTCCTTGTCTTTGCATCCTTATCTGGTTTCACACTGTACCAGCCTGGCTGTAAATTAAGAAAAACAGTCTCTCTGCCTTTCTCACATTCCCATGTCTTTGACTCCTTTTACTTTAAAAACCTAACAGACTCCATTTTCTTTCATGCTCATTGACTACAAATCCCATTCTCCTTCAATCTCATGACAAGCCATACTGCTGCTTTCCCCCTCCTTTTGCTAAGCCCCAAGGAGCTTAGCAAGTGGAGACAAAAGCAGCAGTCAAAGGGATCCTGCAGCCCTTTGACCTCTGCTTTTCCCATCCTTTTGGTAAGGCCCACGGAGCTTAGCAAGTGGAGGGGGAAAGCAGCAGCCAAGGAATCCTGCCCTTTGACTGTTGCTTTCCCCTCCAGAATCGCTTTGATCCCTTCCCCCCTCCACTTCTTTTTGTTCTCTTATCAGCTTACTTCAGTGTATAAGACAGCCCTCAATTTTTAGTCTAAAGATTTTAGATAAAAGTATTTTCTTATACACAGAAAAAGAGATTTTAAGGCATTTTAACAGACATTTTCATAGGATTTTTCATGTATCTGCCATTCTCTTGCCAGTTCAAAGTGACAAGAAAGGTATTGTTTTATTTTGTTTTGTAGGTCTATAAATAGTTTTAGGATGCAATATCAGCACTGACCACTGCAGTATTTTCCTGTATTTTCCTGGTGTGTGGGTAATAAAGAAAGAAAGATAATGCAATGTGTTAATAATGCTGTAAGCGGATTCACTATTAGTCTTAGGTAAATCCTCTTCAGGCAATACAAATGAATTGTTAATAAAAGAACTTTTATTAATACAACTGTTTGTTTCATCTTTATTAAACTCAGCAGAACTTTGTAACTTCAACTGGGGAGGGGAACTTTCCCAGAACCACAATAAAGACTTCTTGCTTTTCAGATCCTTTAGTAATATGTTTTTGCCCTTTTCTCCTCCTTAGTCGGTTGCCTCAGAAACCCGTTGCGGACCACACACAGGGTCCTGCAACAAGGATGGCGGGCCCAATCTCTCTCTTTTGCTGCCTCTCTCTCCAGAGCTGGATCCATAGGGTGTGCCTTTGTCTCGAGCTCTCACTACCTCCATCACACGTGATTCTTCCTCCTTTTCTGCTCATGTCTTTGTCTCTTGCTTTCTCTCTTGTCCTGTCACTACATCCCATGTCTGTCCTGTGGTCTGTGCTATTCTAGTTGTTATTTGAGGGGACGGCTCACTCTCTTTTACTTCCTGTGTCTCCTCCTCACAAATCCACAATATGACAGATTCCTTTCACAAACGAGGCAATGATAACGATGTCCTGGTTGCCTCAAATAATGGGTAAGATATCATGTTCTTTTTGAAAACTCTTTTAACAATTTAGACTTGTTTTTAGAAGTACAAAGATCTTGCACTGACATGCTAACTGTAGCTCCCCAGAAAGGAAGCTGAATGGGCTGCTAGAGGCAAATGATAAGGCAATCCTGCCCACACCAAAAAAGTAGAATACCCTTGACAGAAGCCAGAAAGATGTGGGTAGGAATGCTTTGGGAGTGAGCTGGTTCACCCTAGCAAAGATGTTGTCTTTAGCAGCCTGTCCCTGTAAAGTCCAGACTGCAGGCTTGTCTGATCACACAGACATTTGTGGCTGGTCTTTGACCGTAATAAAGTTTTATCTATCTATCTATCTATCTATCTATCTGTCTGTCTGTCTGTCTGTCTGTCTGTCAGTCTGTCTGTCTGTCTGTCTGTCTGTCAGTCTGTCTGTCTGTCTGTCTGTCTGTCAGTCTGTCTGTCTGTCTGTCTGTCTGTCAGTCTGTCTGTCTGTCTGTCTGTCTGTCAGTCTGTCTGTCTGTCTGTCTGTCTGTCAATCAATCAATCAATCAATCAATCATACATTAGGAAGGTGAAGCTACTTTGTGTGAATGCTTATTTTTATGAAGAATTATTTAATATTGAACAAATTAGTCCCCTCATAACTCCTTATTCTGTGCTTGTTTAAGAATTGTGATTGCAAGTGAAATCTTGTTTTATATTTTTGCACACATCTGTGTGTCATCTTCTTGTTTTTATCTACATTTGAGTTTCTCTGCATGCAGCTGCTGTTCATTTTTCCATCTCCCCGTGATATTCTTCTCTGTTCATTGTCACTGATGGCCTTCTATACAGTAAAATTAGTAGAGTTTAATCTGCTCTACTTCTGACCGATTTGTGTATTTCTTTTGGAAACCTAAATTCAGAACCTTTTTTTGAAAACTCAAGACATGTGTAACAACCTATGAAGTTAGCAAACATGCCATACTTTTCTAATTGAATGTTTTCCCAGTGCACTTTAAAATTCTAAAAAGTTTAGACCATCTGCATGCTCTCATAAAGTATAAGCAATATATATTTAAATTCTGTTGAAGGTTACAGCTTCTCTAACATTTAAACATCAGTGATATATTTTGTACATTCCTCTATAATGTTTTCCATGCATAAAACTGAATCAGAAAAATGGAAATAAATTAAGTGGCACAAGAGCAATGGGAATAATAGTGAAATATTTACTTATCCCAGAACATTAATATTTCATTTTTGCTACTCCTCCTTATTTAGGTTATCCTTAAAATGTAGGAGGGTATAATTTTCTTATTTAATTTACATGTGTAACTGCATTCCTAGAATATGCATCATGTGAGGATATAAAAAAGATGGCACAAATGACAAAAATATGTTTTTAGAAACATTATTATATTCCTAATAAATTATTAGTTGCATCCTGAAATTTGAAACTCAAGATCATATCTTGACCATCAAATATTTGTTTAATATCTTCAGATTTTTATTTGGGGACAAAATCAATATCATTTAATGTGATTCAGCGCATGCTGAAGTACAGAAACTTTGATGATCTTCAATACCATTTTAAGAAACTTTAGAATTTGAAATATTTGGACTGCAATCCTGCACACAATTTATTTGAATTAAACATCATTGAGTTTAGTCTAAGCAAACAGAATTGTGCTGAAATATAAGGAAGCTATAAAAAAAAGGCTGATGTTCTGTTACCTATAGAGTTTTGTTCTGCCATTTTAACCTTAACAGGTTGTTGCTTGAATGCAGATCATCTTTTGCTATTGTTTTCTGTTAACAAAGAGGCAGAGGTTAAGAAAGCGAAAAAAATACTGTTTAAATTTTTGTATTTCCTCTTTCTACCCATGTACAAGAATTTCATCAAATCAATAGATTCTGGAGAAACAAACTTAGATGGAGCTGTAGGTAAGTGTTACGTTTGGGATATTTTTCACGCCCATTATATGTATATATATTTCCTTTGATGCAAAATAGGTATGCCATGTTTTTCCCTTATAGGTCAAACAGCTTCAGAAGAACTAGTTAAGACTGTTTTATCAATATTCGAAGCAATACTTCAACACCCAGTTTTGATCATGCATTATCACTTAACAGTAAGTCTTAGTACCATATGAACTTGCTGATTGTTTACTGGGTCTGTTCTCACTCATAAATGAATTCTTTCCAGGTCGCCAGCAGTTATTAGGATCATTTAAACATTAACTGTCAGGGTAAAAGTGGAAATGATTTAACTAATTCTGAATAAGAGTGGGGTTTTTAAATTATTTTGTACAATCACATTTCAAAAATGATGACAAATAACTTCCAACATACTAGCTGAAATTTTGTGCACACACAGTGAGGATGTTGTGATCACCACTCATTCCTTTAGTGGTTTTGGAATGCATGCAACTCCATTGCATTATGTACATGTACCATGCACCCCCAAATTCCTTTTAATCGTTAGTGGTCATTTGCTGCTGCTGCTAACATCCCTTTTTTTACAAAAGGAATTTTCTAATTTACATATTTGGTTGTCAACAGATTAGAAGCATTTACTTTCTGTGTTATATCTTGTACTTTTAGCTTCAGGCATGGCTAATCAGAATCAGTGGAGGTGTTCAATTGTGTAAACCATATCCAGTGACATGAAAAATATAAGACGGTGTAACTGAAAAGTGTCCATAATCAATAGTGAAATACAATTATTGATACAAAGCTGACTCCAGATGTATGAATTTAAATAATAAAGGTAAATAATGTACCTTTTGACTTGTTAAGCCATCTGTGGGAGCTCTTTTAAAAATGGAGTTTTAAGAGCAGGTCAGCAGGGCTTCCAAACTTATATCTGAAAACTAGGATCTCATATGTCTAAAGAAAACAAGAATAAACAAAGATACTTTAGGTATAAATCACCCATTTTTGAAGAATTTTTCTTTTCAGTCTACCACTGTCTATAGCCAGGATTACAAAGTGGGCACATATATATATGTGCAATATAGACTTTAGTCTGACAATATAACAAATCACTATTAATAGTTACTATTTCTTAAGTGTGTTTCAAATAGTAGGGGATCCCAAGTATTATTATCATGGCCTTATGAGGTAGTGACCAAAAGAACTTCAGAAGTTGCCAGAAAAACTAACCACTTCTGAATGAGTGACGGTAGGGTTATTATTGGGATAACAAAGCTTATCCCAGTTTGCCCCCATTCATTACTTTTGGCTTTTGTTTCCATCATCATCATCATCATCATCATCATCATCATCATCATCATCATCATCATCATCATCGTACCTGTAAGAGACATTGAAGATTACTGGATTTTGGAATAGAAGTGCTGAAATACACTATACCTAACCTATCAGTGTTTCCAAACTTTTTGTATGAGCATGAACTCACTATAGTAGCATATACTCTGTATCTATAATGTTTATTTCCTAATGTGATTCACATAGAGATAATATGTCCATGACCTTGTCTAGTAGTATGAGTATGAACAATTTTGTTCTGTCACATAAAATGCCTATGACTGTAAATATTGGAGACTTGTGTCTTAATCGTTTTGTAAAGCAAAGTAGAATTTCACTTGTAGGATATTTAAAAAACCCTCTTAAAATATTTTCATTTGAACTCTATTAATAGAATATGGTTATAACTGTAGGTTATCCATGTCTGATATACAAAACTAAAATACAATAACAAATACAATATAAATCCTATAGTATTTACAAGAAATATAGAGCAGACTAAAATTCCAATTACAGTTAAGTATAAATTTCTAATCTGATTATTGTAGTAATTTAATCATCTGTTTTCCTGTACCCATAGTTCTTTGAGTGATCATCTGTGAATTTGCACAATCCAGCTATACTCCTTCAGTCTGCCATGCAACTCTTGTATTTCTTTATCTGTGGTGAAGTGGGAGAACTGAGGGTTAGCTGCAGGGTGGGGAGAGTGCATGGCAGAATGAATGTGTCTTAATGCTTTCCTTAAACTCTAAGATGTTTTAAAGTTATCCACACAGACACAAAAGGAACCTATATTTGTGAATTCACAGAACTACAGATCACTCATAAAATTACAGTTACAGGTAAGCAACCTGTCTTTTCTGTGTTACAAGCTGTCAAGTCGTTCTTTGTGGTCTCTGTGAATCACACATATAGATTTCTGTGCTTTGTGAGGGTTCGTTATTAAGGGGGTCAGTCACTTTCAATAAAGACCGAGACGTGGTAAACTTTCCAACTGGTTCTGCATTTATTCGAACATCAACGGGAACATTATGAGTAACAACTTTCTCAGGCTCTTGTTCCCCCAATCCGGGGCGCAAGGGTGTCCATAAACTTCCTACAAAGGGGTTACTGTCCTCCATAGTCCAAGGTCCAGTTAAACCTTTCACTGGAATCTGGGTTTCTGGAGCTTCTTCTTCTGGAGGGATTAGGGGAAGGGTCTCTTCGTCGCTGCTCCACCCCCATAAGGATGAGCCTTCTCCGGGGTCTGCCATCCATGGCCCGGGTAAACCCCCATCTTCTGTAACTCCGCCAAATGCCATGCTTTCTTTCGTTCAATCTCTTTAGCTACCGCCTCCCTCTCTTCCCTCAACTTGCGTCTCCACTCTTTTGCCTGTTTCTCCCCAGTATGAGGGACGGGGATTCAAACCTTGTTTCCTCCATCTCTCAGCCTCCTCATGAGGCACCCGCATCTGCTCCCATCTTCCGGTCCACGGATCCTGTAGCCAGATCCATCCCCAACCTCCTGGTCTCTCCTCGCATTTTTCTTTTATATCCCCGGCTGCCGCCTCTATCTCCTCCTTCCCTTTTCCCGCCAAATCTTTCCCCGGCCCTGATGACAAGGTTAACCCCTTCAAGGTCTGTACCAGGTCACTGGTGTTGATACCCACATCTTTTGGCCCCTGTCTTCCTGCATTTCCCCCAACTTGCGGGTGTCCACCTGCTTGTCTTCACGACGGGGTGGTGAAGGAGGGGGAGAGGTTTGGGTTTTTTGGGTCTGTGACGGGAGCGACGGCACTCCTACATAGGCCTCCTGCTTGGGGGCCTCACATACCCCCCCATCCAAGAGTGCCGCTCGCTCTTCTTCACTTCGCGCCCACGGTCCCTGCCGAGAAAAATAATCGGCATTAGCATGTTCTAACCCCTTCCTATACTGAATGGTAAAAGAAAAAGGTTGTAATGCTAGGTACCACCTAGTTAACCTGGGGTTTGTTTCCTTCATGCGATTTAGCCACTGCAACGGGGCCTGGTCTGTAACTAGAGTGAATGGTGCTCCTTGCAAGTATGGGTGGCCCATCTGATTGCCAGAGCCTCCTTCTCAGTTACCGCATATTTTTCCTCCCTTGGTTTGAGCTTACGACTCAGATACAAAATAGGATACTCTACCCCTTGGCGCCTTTGGGCTAGCACCCCTCCTAATCCCCTATCTGATGCATCGGTAAACAGGATGACCGGCAATTTAAAATCCGGGGAGAACCTAATGGGAAGGTCACAAATGATTTCCTTGAGGGTTTTAAAAGCTGCTTCATGCTCTTGTGACCATCTTACTTTAACCGGGGCCTTCTTCCTTGTCAGATCTGTCAACGGGGCCGCAATTGAAGCAAACCCGGGAATAAATTGGCGATAGTATCTGATTAACCCTAAGAACTGCTGCACCTCCCTCTTCGTCCGTGGCCTATACCAATTTGATATTTTCGTGACCTTTTCATCTTGGGGTTGTATTTCCCCTTGACCCACCTTGAAATGAAATGTTGAAATGAAATGTTTTATTACGGTCATTGACCAGCAAAATTAAGATACATTATTAAATTTGGGAATATAAAAACAATCTAAAAACATTAAAAATACTAAAACACCAAAGGACTAAAAACATCCATATACATATATATAAAACCACATTCAAACATCTTAGTAAATATCTTCTACTCCCTATCATAGGCCTTATCTATGGCCTATTACAGCTTACATTCAATGCCAAAATTGTTACTTTGAAGCTCGTAGAGCCCGTGTGAACATTACCAATTTACAAATTCTATAGCTGCGCTCTAGGTGGAACCTTTCCTTCCCGGATTTTGATTGCAGCAGCACAGAATTTGGCTACCTTTGTCAGCATATCTGAATTTAGCCCAGTACTTCTGTCAGGGCATCGCCCTGTCAGCAAAAGCAGTATGTAGTGTGCCTTTGTTCGTCCAGGAAATGCCCTTATATAAGGGTTAACATGGACTTCTCGAATGTCAGAATAAAAAGCACAATGTAGTAATACATGGGAGATAGATTCAATCTCACCAGAGTTACAGGGGCATAAACGCTTAGTGTAAGGGATGTTGTTATACTTCCCTTCCTGGACTGCTGACGGAAGTGCATTGAAGCGGGCCAAAGTAAGAGCTTTGCGTTGTTTAGGAGTTAGGGGTAAGTAGAGATATTTTGCTGGTTTCAGTGGGAGCAATGCGTTGTCAACTGTAAACCTATTTCTGATAATACCAAGATCCTGCTGCCTTTCTATCTCAATAATACGCTGCTTAAGATTACTCTTGGCCCTAACGTATCCCATTTGTTGGATACTTTCTACTGAATAGCCCTATCTGTTGATTTTATGGTATATTGCTCTCTTCCAAGGTGACTGATGGTTATCCTGTAATACCAGTGAAGTCAGTCCAATTGGTTGAAAGGTTAGTTTTAGCCAAAAGTTAAAAATAGCCAGCCAAGCTCTGGCTTCAACCTTCAGGTAGCCTACTTCAAACCTGAGGGCTACATTAGATACCTCTCTTGGAACTTGTAATATAGCCCTCACAAATTTGGACTGAACTACTTCTAACTGGATAAATGAAGAAGAAGAATAGGGGCCCAATTGTGCCCCATACAAGAGCTGACTAAGGGATTTGGCCTGAAACAATCTTAGTGCAGCTGGAATGTACTGGCCTCCCTTAGAATAGAAGAATTTTAGTATAGTAAGGCTAGATTTTTGTGCTGCTTGTACCACGTTGTTAACATGGGCCTTGTGGTTTCCTTTATACTGGAAAACAAAACCCAAATATTTATAGGCCTTAATTTGTTCAATCTCATGCTCATCTATTAACCACTTATAGATCCTGGGCCTCTGAGC